CCCAGACCACGCTAATTAGTGTGCTCCAGCAGCCTCCACATCTCATATATTCAGCATCCCCATGTTTCAAAAAGGCAGCAGGGGTGCTGTAACTAAAGCTCATTGAATGAGTTTTAGTTAAAGTGTTCCCACCACAAATTTTCAGCACAGATACTGTTACATGGGTAATCGAGTCTGCTCTGATGTGTTGTAATTACAGGGTGTTGGAGCAGCCCCAAATGTCTGTAGATTTACCCTTCTGAGATTTATTTCTTTAGTGAATGCAAATATGCCAAGCCAAGCAATGGCTTCATCGTTAACTGAGTTCATAGTTATTAATCTACCCTCTTAATTTGTAGAGGGGACACTCGTTGGTGATGTGCTGCACTGTTTGTATGTCTACAAGTGCACAAAGGATTAGCATGAGGCCCCAGCAGCAAAGGTTGGCTGCACAGGGGCCTTGGCCTGTCCTAAGTCTGTTTAGCAGGGACCCACTATCACTGTGATTATTCACTATTGATGTGATAGCCAGCAGGTCGATGAGTGGGGTTTGTGACTTCCCATGATTCCCATTCCTTGATCCAGTGGGCTTCTGGAGAGAAGCCACAGCATAGTCCTCTGGCATCCCAGTGTAACTTGCTCTTACTTCCCCACCATGTGTCAAGGGAGATGGTGTGTCTCTGGGGCTGGACTCGACTGCTCCTGCCAAACAGAAGCAGAAAATGTCCCCAGACTGCTTCAAGGCTGGAAAGCCCAGCCCCTTCACCATCCCCACACTGTGCTCTCGGGCTGCACATGACCTTTAGTAGTCTGGGTCAGCTAATCAGGGCTGTCCTATGCACTTTGTCATCCATTTCCAGACAGGGGAGCCTACAGAGCATACAGAGGTGTGCATAGGGCCCCCCGGCTTGGTAGTGTCAGCACTGCAGGGTCTCTGTTCCTCAGTGGCTCAGCTCATCTAACATCTGTATAGAGCTCTCTGGGTACATTTTTCTACTGGGAAAACAAACCCAAGAGAATTCTCCTGAGTCATTTGAACATCAGTACACAGCCCAAGCTGAATACCAGGTAAAACAACTACCTTTGCTTAAATGAAAATAGTCATATGATATTTAGCTTAGACTGTATGTGCTTTTTTCCTAGACCTGAGAGGGCATTCTGTGTTTGAAAACTTGTCTAATGTCTCTTTCTACTATGTAGTTAGTCCAATAAAAGATATTGCCAAATGATAATTGCTTCTAAGTTATTCCCTGCACTGACATGGCTACAATAACCCTACAACATAGCTCTTATTATTGATACCTGCCTTTTTATTGCATTTACCTTGCTTATTCTTAGACTTCAATTATGTGTAGTGAAGGAAGGCAAGTAGTCACAGTTTTCCATTTCTCAGTATCAGTTACAGTTAAATTCCCTTGCCCGCATGATTTCAAGAGTTTATTTTGGATTATTTTCCTGACTGCACCAAGAGGACGAGAGGGGAAGAGAATCTAGACACCCTTTCAGGCTGGAAAATATTCAGGCCATATGTAAATATATTCCCCCAGTTGAAAGTTGGCATCATCTCCAGCATGAAGTAATACTTAAAAGATAGGATTTAACATCTAAAACATGCTGTCTAGGGCAATGTACAAATACTTGATATGAGCTTCCTGTGTGCAGACTCTTTTGCGTAATTGTTTAATCATTACTCTATTTCTGTTTTTTTCAGGAAATGTACCTGGGAAGAACCTTGAAGAGACACACAGATCTCTGTCAAAGTAATTATTTGCCAAGAGATTCCTTTACTTGTAAGTTCCTTTCTGTCATAAATTAATGGCATAATATATTATCAAAGATAGAGGGTACTTAAGAACTTCTGGAAGGTTTATGTATGTAGGGGAAACTTTGCTACATTATTTTCTGTTGCTACTTATTCTCAAATTCCTGAGTTATAGTGGAGAGTAAACAGTTATTTTATTCTGCTCTGTTAAGGCTCTACACCAAATAAAAAGTAAGTTTTATCCACCAGTACTTTGTATGTTACATAATGACATACTTTTGTTTTCCTTTAAATATATGTTAAACTATAGTAACTAGTTCATTATCTAGTGAATATTCTATCTAAAAGTGAGTTTGGAGCTTATGAAAGAGACTACCTGTGAGACAGCATGTTTTGTGCCCCTAAACGGAAGTATTTTATAGCTGAGACAGTCTACATAGACTCCCTCCGTCCTGTTCTGTCTTGGCCATCTCTCCTGTGATAGCCAAATAATGTCCTATTGCAGTAAAACTGTTTGAGTTAACTTGGTTTCAACTGGAGTGACACCAGTTCTTTTCAGATAAAACACAAAACAAGCACTGAATCAAAATGGTTTGGACCTGAATTTTCCATCAAGGTCTGTTTTATATAGTTAGTTATTGCTGTAGTCTCTGAAATAGCTAAGCATCTGAAAGACAAGAATGGCTTTGAGAGAAAGATTAGCTAGTTCCACTTTATTGTGAGGGAAGACAGGTGCAGAGGGAGTAACTGATTTGTCCATGGTCACACAGGAAGTGGCAGAGCTGAGAACAGAACCCAGATTATTTTAACCCAGTCTAAAATTTCACCATAAAACATTGGATATGGAGATTTCAGTTTTATGGCCTGACATTAATACCGTTAATCAGCCAGGACTTGTATGATCAAGCATTGTTAAAATCATACTTTGGAGAAAAGGAGCTGTCAGTTTTAGGCCACTGACTTGCTAACTAGACTTATTTCTTAAATAATACTTTTAAAAGGTCTGAACACAGGGTGGCTTTCATGACAATAAAACAATAAACATTATTTCACAATTGGAGGACATTCCTGTATGCATCTGATAAACTGTGGATAGTTTATTTTAGAAAAATAACTTTGTAAACTAAACTTTGAAGGCTGGTCTGTCTCTCAAATAGAACTACAGGGTGCCTGTACACGAGCCGGGAAGCTGGTCTGATGCACCATAATTACACATTGATACACAAGGTGTGTAGGCTGGCTGGAGTGCAGTAATTACTATGCTCCAGCAGACTTAATTAATTGAGTCTGCTCCAAGGCACTGTAATTACACTCCAGATTTTTAACTAAGATGTTGGCACAGCCAAAGGGGAGAGTGCCTCCAGAAAGTGCTAAGATTTATTCAAGACCTAGTGTATGCACCATGGGACAACTCACTGGCACATGAGAAATGCAATACCTACCCAATGGCTTATCCAACCCAGCATACCTGTCTTCAATAGTGGCAGAAGTGGAGGCATCAAAAGGAGGGCACTTTACTGAGTACATCAAGAGTGATCCATCCCCTATCCATTACCCTCCTTGGCATCCACCATCACTGGTTTAGAGATGCCAGAGGAAACATTTCTGACTCTGTTGCTTAATAATGACAACTAGAGCCATCATTCATGAATCTGTCTAATCCCTCTTTGAACCTGGCTGTACTACTTGCCTCTTCAACCTCCTGGAAATCTCATCAATAGTGTGCAAACAATATAATGAAAAAAGGTGTTCCTGGAGGTAGTTCCACACTGCTTAGATGAAACCATTAAATGCTTTTCAAGAAAATGTTTTTAAAAAGTACGAACAAATTTTTATGAACCTCTACAAAACCTTGACTTGGGAAACAGACCAGCCTTCATAATTAATATATATGGGTGTTTTTCAAAATGCTCTGGGGGTTGTGGGGGAGGGCATTTTAATTAAAGCAACTCCAAGAGCCACTTTAATTAAAGCGCCAGGAACATCTCATGTATCGGTGTCCCCACACTTTAAAATAGTGGCAGGGGCCAGTTAAAGCTTGATTAATTGAGTCTGCTTTGACGCATTGTAATTATGCTCCAGGTGCTTTAATTACAGTGAATTGGAGCTGACTTGATTAATTGAGCCTGCTGGAGCGTGGTAATTACCATGCTCCAGCCAGTCTCCATGTCTGATGTTTCAGCGTCCTTGCGCTTCAAAATGGTGGTGGGGGCACTTTAACTAAAGCTCATTTGACAAGCTTTAGATAAAGCTTCCCTGCTGCCATTTTGAAGTGCAGGGACACTGATACACGAGGTGTTTGGGGCAAGGGAAAGCTGCTCATTATTTAAATTTCTGAGGGTTCTTTTGCAGGGAAGTTTAATTATGTAGTACAAATGGGGTAGTGGGTACAGCTCCAACATCATGCTAGTAGGAAAAAGAAAACAGAATTTAGGTTTTGAGATTGGCATCAGCTTGCTTATTCCAATTCTCTCACGTTCTCTTTTAGTATAGTTGTACTTCTTCACTGACAGCAGCAAACTGAGGAAAAATGATTACGTATTTATTGATTAGAATAAAAATACAGAGTTGACAAGGATAAATTAAGTGACACTGTTATAAAAATCTATGGCATGATGCAAAGAAACCAGGATCTGTATTTTACATGGACAGCTTCACAATACTTAAATGGCAGACAACAAATAGGCAGGCCAAGCAGTTCTAATATCTGGAAGTACTGGCAATCTGTCTCATTTAGTGTCAGTTTTAATAGTAGGATCATGTTTGAGAGCAAAAGAACAGAAAACGTGTGGCACATTTTCCCCTATGAAATAAAAGGAAAATTCCCTGAAAACATAAAATATTTCAGAGTTGCATATAGCAACAAAGGATTCCATTTCCCAAATACCTGTCAGTTAAGTCTGTACCTCATATAATTTTATAAATATATTGGTGCTTGATTGTAATAGGAAATGGTGGCATAAAATGTGCAATACAATCTTAAAGAAGGGAAAGTAATTAAAAAAAATTGTAGACCATATGTTTGTAAGCCATCGATTGACGGGACTTAAAAATGGACAAGATCTTATCCCTCAAGCAGTGCAGGTTTTTCTCCAAGTGTTTTTGCCTACTGTAGTTTTAGATGACCCAAGCATGAAGCAGTATTACTAGTTCTTTAACTGTTGAGTAGTATGAAGGGAGAATTTCAGCTGAACTATTGGGTAGTGTCACAGGCCACAGTCCTTTTTATGGTGTATGAGTGAGAATGAGGAATAAGGTTTCCTTTACATTACATTATGACTAGCCAGAGTGGGAAGAGCAAGGCCTAGTGTAGTCCAGGGTTTGACTGTAAGTAAAGTGGAAGATAGTACTTCCTTTTTACCACCCTTCCTCATGTGTTTAGCAGGGAGCATTTCACAGTTGTCTCTTCCCATGTGTTGATTTAAAATCTAGCTTAATGTGTTTGGAATTTCAGTCGCTACTATGTCACAACTACATAACAGGTATACTTCTCAAGCACAGATATGAAAGATGAGCTGAGTAAGTCTGTGGAGAAATTAAATACATGTACGTGTTTTGGGACTATTTTTGCGGTAAAAACCCACATTTTTATCACACAATCTTTAGAGCCATTGAGAAGTCATAAATTCTTTTCTTTTTTTGCTTTACTTTGATTTTGAATAAAATAGTTGGATATGCAAAATTTTGCACGAAAAGAACATTTAAAAAAATAACTTTTTGCTAAACCAAGAGTAATTTTAAATACGGAAAATGCCCTGTATCTAGGAGCCTAAACACCTGCAGAATTCCAGAATCACAAAGGTACAGATGTGATGAGAAGGAATCACAGAAGCCTGGGAACTTAAGGAAATCTAACTCTGATATTCCTGGGCAGGCTGCTTAGGACCCTGGAAAACCTAGTAGATAGGCTCCTTGAGTGTGTGGGAGTCCTTCACACACTGAGATGTCAGGGAACCTCTATTTGTGCTGCTGGACAGCCTTCTTGGTGCACTACCTGGAGCCTGGGAATTTAAAATCCGAGGAGCTTGAGGCTGCCCTGCAAAGTAGACTATCATAGTTTCTCTAAAACATGTCATATACTATTGAATCTGCACCCTGTAATAGGAAAACTAGAAAAGTGTGCCGTGCTGACTTTTGTTTTGTTCAGACCCATCAAAAGCTCTCTGACTGCATATTTTGTTATTTTATCCATCAGCTTATCCATTTCCTTATCCAGATAATGCTTGTAAACTGTGTGTCTGCAGCTTAATGGTTTGTGAAGACTGAAGCAAAGTAGATGTTGAGTAGCTTTGCTCTCTTTGCATCTTCTGGTAAGGATTCACCCTGGCTGCTTAACACTGGAGCCACAGCTTCCTTGGTCTTTCTTTTCTGCCCAACATTCTTATCTAAACTTTTTGGCTAGGGACAGACATTCAAAAAGCCTGTGCCTGAATTTATTCAATCTTTGCAAGTTAGTCTAAACTGGCTGGCCTGAACCAGTTTTTAACCACATAGACATCCCCTTTGGACTGAAGAAATACAGGCACATGCCTGTGGTAGCTCAGGCTAGAAGCCAGGGAGTGCTAGACCAGCCTTCCCATCCCTTCTGTAGTGCTGAGCTGAAGCGGGGGCATGGCCAGGGTTTGGCAGGACACTGGTTCGGGAAGGGTTTCTCCTCCCCTCACTGCTTCTGGCCAGCGGGGAGTTAACAAAGCATTTAGTTAAACAGGGAGTTGATAGTATTTATCATCCCATCAAAAAATCAAAAGCCTCTCTCATGAGTTCAAGCTCTTCTTAGACAGATTTTTCCAAGAAAGAAACGTAGGGACATTACCAGCTACCTATTGATTAGCTTCAACAAGCCCTAAATGGAGATTGTCCTGTCTGCCTTTGTCCTGTTTACCTTACACAGACACCTCTCAGCATTAGCTACTATACTGCATGCTGGCTGTGGTCTGTGCTGTGGGAGAGGAGAATCCCTGCTTGAGCACGGAGTGGTGAGGGGGGATGGAGCAAGGAGAAGCCAGACAGATGCTGCTGTGTTTGCAG